ATATATATATATATATATATATATATATATATATACATTAGGGCCCTGCAAATTGACATTTTTTGTTTCAAATTGAATCTCAAAGCAGGTCTTGATTCGCAAATCAAATCATGAATCGAATTAGCTATTCGTGAAAACCAAGTTTAAGTTTGTTTTTTTTTTCCAAAAAGATAAAAATATTTCTTTGAACAAATTCTTTTTGCTTGGATTATATTTTTGGCGTTTGTTTTAAAGTGATGTTAGAACTATTTTCAACTACTCTTTCTCCCACCGGTTTGAAAAACCCATTTCAATTACATTTTAGCTTTAGAAATCTAAAAAAACCAGCAATATTCGCAAAATAATTCGCGAAAATATGATTTGAAAAAACTTGAATCTTTTTTTTTTTGACTCGAAGCGACACTTGATTCACGAATCGAAGCAATTCACAAGACCCTAATATATATATATATATATATATATATATATATATATATATATATATATATATATATATATATATATATATACGCATACATACATTATATATTTATGCACACTTATCTATGATCAAAATTTTGAATGTTATTATTCCAGGCTTTTGATTTAGTCAATAACCTCAAATAAATCAACTGTATTGCCTGCATCAAAGCAATACCATTAGTTATGTTTTTGATTTTATCAATTGAATGCTATCATTTTGATTCTATCGATTGAATCATTAGTCTGGTTTTGTACATATTGATTCAAAATTAATAAATTATGATAAAAATTGATTTAAAACAAACAAATATTATAGTATATATTTTTTTAGTATTCCAACCATATTCGCGTTTCAACAAAGAAACTTACCTGTTGTAAAGAAGGGAAAAGTAAACTAAAGCAGAAAGACTTTTTCTTGGAACTCGATATATATTTTTTGTGTTTCTTGTTTAATTTTTTTTTTAAATGTTTTTAGCTTAAGATTGTTAAAATCTCATTTATTTAAAATATTTTTTACTTAAAGATTGAAAGAATGAAAAATGTTTTTAATGCATAAAAGATATTTATATTTTCATTTGAATTATATTTTGATCTTTTATTTTGTGTTGATTGATATTTATTTGATGCATAAAATAAATTTATATTTTTTAAATTATACTAATGTTGCTTTTTTTTCTGTTTGTCTCTATTGCATTATTACGAATATTACAAACTTTATATAGCTTTATATCTAAAAATTAAATAATTTATCAAAGTTATGCTTTAAGTTCAAAACTTGTTTGTGTTTTTATTTATAATATATATATATATATATATATATATATATATATATATATATATATATATATATATATATATATATATATATATATATATATACATCAGAAAGGAGTATCATAGCAACAGGTTACAAAAAGTTAACGATTAAGATTTTATTTTAACCCTGCAAAAAAAATTGAATCCTCATAAAAGCAAAAAATGCAAAAAAGATAAAAGGTTCATCTTGCTGAATAAATAAAAATTTAAAAATTTCTACGCTCAAAATTTTTTTTAAAAAGGTTTAAAGATTATAAACAAAAACAGTAAAAGTAGCTTTAGCTGAAAGTAGATTTTATTCACATTCAGAGGACTTGTATTTTATTTAAAACATTTCTTAGTAAAGCTGCAAGTTATTTTCACAATAATTTTATTTTAAAAATAGTTAAAAACCTATTAAATTATCTATAATTAAACAAGTTACTCGTTGTCAATGATAAGTTTTTAAAAACGTTACATCCGTAGCCATTTTTAAAATTCTAAATTATTTTTAACTCTACTGCGCTTGCGTATAATAACTTTCCACTTATTTCTAAAGTTTAAACGACCGTGAGCCCTGACAAAAGATGTTAGATAATTATCCAATATGTCAAACATCTTTGAGAATCGAACCCTCAATCAAATCTTTTGATACAACCAACACCTTTATAGTTCACGCATGCCCAGATTGAAGATTTTGAATTTTATTGTACCTTTAATTTTGACTGATTATTCTGCTAAAAGTGGCTTGTGTTGTGTTCAAATGTTTTGCAGTTTCTCTCATTAAGATATTTTGTTCCTTCATTACAATGATTTTACATTTTGTTATAATAGCAATAATTTTTTCCATTCAATTTGATCTTTTTATTGCTGAAATATTGTAGTTAATTTTATACTCACTTTTCTATTTCATTTGACGCATATTTTTATAAATATTTATAACAATTTACAAAAATTCTCAAATAATTATAAATAGTTTGCAAATAAGTGCAAAGTTTTAATAAAAGACAAACAAAATTCTGAAAGAAGTTTGGAATAATAGAGTGGATTGTTAATTTTGGCGATAATAATTATTTTAGATTATGAGATATATGTTCAAAAAAAGCAATATTATTAGCATAATACGCTGATAAAACCATGCTAATTCCAAATAAAAGAATTCGAATAGTTTGTAATTTCAAATAAAAGAATTCGAATAGTTTGTAAATTGCCAAAGTCAAGAAGTTTTTGTCAAACTTTCAAGTCAAAATAGCTACATAAACTTGGTCACGGTTCTTAAAAAATAAAAGCTATAATTTTAAAATGTTAACGTATATGCACTTAACGTATATGTAAGTCAAAAAATTGTTGTCTCCAGAGAGATTCAAAATGTTAGAGCAAAAGAATTCCGAAATAGAGTTAACAAATAATTCATATGTAAAAGTTCAATAAAAAAATAATTTATTTGTCAATTTTTAGTTATTTTTAAGCAACCATAAATAGGTGCAGCTTTTTCGCACTACCGCTAAGTGCAGTGACATTTAAAAATTTTTCAAAAACTTTTTTTGGTAGTTTTTTTAAATTTTTGAAATTTCACGTCTCTTGCTAAAACAAATACATTACTCACCACCCTAGGTGGTGAAATAGAACTTACTTATGTATAGAGGCAACTTTCCCGCTCAACCCTAAAATCATCATTAAAAAATTACTTTTTTTGATCCTCCTTATATTGGTAGATACAGCTGAAATTGCAGTCAGATTTGGAGCAGCCGTGGCGCAGTGGTTAGAGTTCTGGCTCAGAACTCAGAGGTCCGAGATTCGACCCCAGCTCCAGCCAAACAAGCGACATTGGTACGGAAGGAGGCGTGAACTTCCTGTTAAATGCTCTCCCGCAGTACTTTGCGATAAGACCATAAGGACTTCTGGCAGCACCTAAATAACTACAAAATGGCACCTTTGAGCACCTTCGAAATGGATTACTCTCTTAAAAGTTGACTGTATTACTTTAGCATTCAAAACGCATTTAAACATACACCCAGTGGGCACGGACGTAAAAAAGACGTCTTTTAAACGTCTTTTGAACGTTTTGGACGTCTTATAAACGTTCAAAAGACGTCTTTTTTTGGTCCGGTGCCCACTGGGCAAGTTTTCATTTTTTAAAACAAAAAATTGCCTAATTTGAGTTGCTTAATAATATTGATCTAAATTGTTCAAACAAAACTATCTGCACACGAACTAGCATTTCTTTTAGGAAATGCTGGTTTGTTCATTTCCTTTAGGAAATGCTGTTTCGACCATCACAAAACGTTTTGTGATGGTCGAAAATTTTGATAAGCAGATAACGTTTTATTTAAAACATTTTAAAAATGATTTGAATTTTTTTTTAACTTCCTGCATTTCTTGGAGTCTTATGTAATTCTACAAACAAAGCAAAACGATGTTGTTAAAATGAATTTAAAAAAGTAACTGAGTATGTTGTTTACACTTTTTATTGAAAGCGTTATTAGAAAAAGCGCCAGAACAATATAAAAATTCAAGTGGTATTTAATGTAAAAATTCATCACAATTATTCAAGGAATAAAAAATATTTATAAGAAAGCTAACTATAACTTTTAATTTTATGAAAAACTATAAGATAATTTTTTATAAAAATAAAAGTTGTATTTTTTAACTTGAAAAAAAAAAAAAAAAAAAAAAATCAGAACAACCAGGATCAATAAAATATAATCAAGTAAATAACACAAAAATTACACGAAATAAGAAAAAAAAATAAAAAAGATTTCAATAAAGAATAAAAACATGAAAACGCAAAACAAACAATAATAGGCGTTCAAGAGCAATGAGGTCAAACAATGTTTTCAAAATAAATATTCAAGCATTTAACATTGCATTTTTTATTCCAAAGAATAATTTTTTTGTAATTTTTTTTAGTTTGGTGAAATAAAAATATGGCTATGAAGATAAAAATATTGACTGGTTCAACTTTTTTTATGTTATGTTTTCAACTATTTAAGGTGAACTTTGCTGAATTTTTTTAAAGGTTTATGCTGGAAATTATTGTTTAAAGCATATGTTTATAAACGGAACTGTGTAATCTACAAATTAATTTTTGTTTATTTGTTTAGATGCTTAATTATTTACTTTATTTTGCTGTTGATTAAAAATTAAAACATATTTTAAATCTATTTGTGTGTGTGTGTGTGTGTGTGTGTGTGTGTGTGTGTGTGTGTGTGTGTGTGTGTGTGTGTGTGTGTGTGTGTATATATATATATATATATATATATATATATATATATATATATATATATATATATATACATATATTAGTTACTATTACCCGCAGTACCAGGAATTACCTAAATGCTAATATTTATAACAGAATATTGCTACCCAGCAAACATTCTTTAACGGAATTTCAATGGACCTGTATACTATGAAATGCCGTCGTAACTCAATGTATATGTATAATGAGTTACGACGGTATTTAATAATGCGTAGTTATTGGAATTTAGTCTTTAGATCTAAAGACTAAAAAGTAAAATATACCAAAAACAATCTTTTTTTTACTGAAAAGCGGAAAATAGACTTTTTATTTAAATTTAATAGTTCAGTAAACTAAAAAGTGACATGTCTGTTTCGAAATGAATCTTATGCAGGCCTGTTAATACGCACATACCTAAACATTTGTTTTGTTTATGTTATGCACGGTTATGTTATGCAATTGGCCGGCTGACAATTAGCGAGTTTTATAAGGGGTGGTTTTGGCGTATGAGATTTCGGAGCCATCTTTATGGACAAAAACAATGTCGATCTCAATCGATACCAGAATGGGTTTACCTTTCTTTTTATTTAATAAAATACAATGAATAACATTTAAAACAATTGTATAAAATGATTATTAGACCATTGTTTATCTACAAGTTGCACTTTACACGAGTTATCAGAATAATTAAAAGTAAACATTACCCTATTCTTGCTTGAAAACTAAAGTGAAAGACAAAAAGACATTTTGTACTCAAAATTTTCATGGATTCTACAAGTATCTCACATTTAACAACCTCTTTAACTATACGCACCCTTCTATCACTTCATCAATTTAAAAAAAAAAAAAAAGCTTTAAATATAAGAGAATGCAATTTAGAAAAGAAAAATTGATGCAGTTAATTAAAAATTGAATGCAGTTTCGGACCGAAAAGTTCGGACAGAAAATATCCAGAAATGTTTCGGACAGAAAATATCCAGAAAAAACTCTTAACGAATTTTGTTTAACCTGGCGTTAACATTGCTTGTTAGTTATGAAAATTTTTCAGGGAAAAAATTTGTTTTGCTGCATTTTTGTTTAAAAAAGATTCCACATATCTTTTGTTTTAAAATGTTGATTTCAAGAATGTTACTTTGGAATTGTTGGTTTCAAAAAAATGTTGATATGTCCTTTCATTGTTATTGTTTATGAAAGACTTCCACGAAGCAAAGGAAAAATTATCATGACTTCGCAAAATGACATTCTCAAAGTAAAAAAGACTAAATTTCTATGTCTCGCCGAACTAAACTTATTTCAGTACGCCTTGCTATTAAAAAAGTGTAGAAAAAAATATTTCTAAAATAAAGGAAACAAACTCTTAAATCACATTGGTGCAATTTTTCTTTTCACATGTAAAATTTTCATTATTATCTCAACTATACCTATAAAAAAATGCCTTATTTTTTGCTTAATGCATCTTTATATTGTTAAAGGAAACCGAATCTATTATACTAAACTTAATCAGATCACTAAAACTTTACTCCAATAAGTAATATTATTTGAGTAATGGAAGGAAAAATTTATACTGTTCCTAAAAATAACATAAATAATAACATATGCATTTTTAAAAAGAAAATTAACTGCTACAAAATTTACCTAAAAAATTATTATACTAAAACTATTATATAAATAATAGCAAGGAGTGTGTTGAAGCAAATAAAAGAATTTTACAATCTATTTACAATATTTAGTAGCATATACAAAGAGATTTAACAAAAATAAATGTTGAAAATATATGCTGCTGATCCTATTGAATATACAGCTTTTAAAAAAGTTTTACAAAATTCAGATGTATAACAAAAAAACAAAAACAAAAAAAAATTAAGATAACTGTTAATTTTCTTGTTGTTTACAGGGAAAAGTTTGAAAGCATAACGTAACACACTATTTTCACTATCTGATATTAAAAAATATAGATATAGAAATATTGCTGAAAAAAAGACAACTTCCATATGCTTAAATACAATTATGTACCAAATAACATAATACTTTTCCTGTTTATGTATTTTAGTAATGACAAAAATCAAATTAAAAATTGAAGATTGAACCTTAAATTGTGTACAGTCTATATCTATATCTTTAAATTGTGTATATGCATATCAGTCTGAGGATGTCCATTCTTGAAAAACATTTTGGGAAATCTTTTTTAATAAATAGAATAATCTCAATCAAGGTCACCTTTTTCAAAAAGTTTCACTAAATATGTTAATCATGCAACAAAAACTTGTGCTTTTGGAAACTAGTAAAATATAACCCATAACTATCAATCCATTTACAAATTAAAAAAATTAAAATTAAAAATTTTAAAATTTTTATTAGAGACAAATTAAAAATTAGGAGAAAAAGAAATTTGAGGTTAACATTGAACAACTTGAATTTAGTAGTATAAAAGGTATTAGAAAATATAAAAAATTGAAAATGATTTAAGAGATATTATTAAAGTTTTGTTTAAGTTTTTTCTCTAATGCCAAAATGATGTAAGATTGATAAAAAAAATATGATCTGCAATATTATATGTTTTTTGCAGATCAATAAAAACTCCACTGGTAATTATGTAATTACCTAAAGCTTTATGTATAGTTTCAGTTATATCCATGAGTGGATGGTTAATACAATGCTTATATTACAATAATTCTTTTTTTTTTAACATTAGATAGGGGTGGTTTCTAGGCTATTAATTAATGTTTGCATTTTAGCCCCTAATCCAATAGGAGCCACTTGTTTAGAAGAAATTGTAGTTTCTGGAGCATTAGGCAATCTCACTTATGCATAGTGAGAGTTTGCTTTAGAAGTAGGACCTCTTTTACAGAATCTTCATATTTCTTTTAGAGCACATTTTTCTTTGTTAATGCAGGTCCTGAGTTACAGGTCCATGAAGGAATTATAGAACCTCATGTTGATCTTCGTTGAAAGTTAAAAGTACGCAATAAAAGTCTTGTAGCATGAAGTACATCTGGTAAAACTCTTTTTCAGGATGATAATGGTAGATTTCAAGATTTAAGAGTGAGTATCAAGCATCAAAAGCATCAGTCTCTATAGTAAAAGGAATATTCTCATCAATAATTTGTATAGAAAAATAAAGAAGCTCATTTTTTAATATTTGTTGTCAATTGAGTGGAAAATTTGTAACACAATTCAAAGGTCGAATTTAATCTAAAAATTTTCTGATCCGTTTTGCATAGTATGAGAACATTCCGACATTTTGATAATACGTTGCAGAGATTAAGCTAACTTTATAAGAGGGGCAAGTTGCTGAGGAACAGGTTTTAAAGAACCATATAATATTCAGTAAACCAAAAAATCTGATGTGTTTGTTGAAAATACACACTTCTCATTAAATATAGTTTCAGCATCTATGGCAGCTATTCTGAATTTAGGCAAGTTTTCATTTATTAGTAATTTCATTAGACTTTTCATCTACTAATTAAACTTGAGCATGCTAAGGTGAGTTACTTGGTTCTATTATTCTTACTTCATTGAATATAAACGTCAAGGAAATGATGGGTTTCAGATTTGATAAATTCTTTCTTTGACAATGTTGAGATTTAGTGGCAATAGGTTTTCAATTTTTAGTGAGATTAGCAAACAAAACTGGAGGCTCAGTTTTCATTGTTGTAAGAGCTGAAAAAGTTATTAGTGGTCGTGTTCCACCATATTTAATGGTAATACTTTCATGAAACTCTTGAAAATCTGTACCAAGAATATGGATCTGATTTTGTTGGGCCACATCTTGCTTGATCAAAGGCTGATGTAAGGTTTGCATACATGTAGGTAAAATATGTCTGGCAAATATTTCATTCTTTGGTTTTATATAAATAGAGTCAAGTATACTTGTTTTCTTAAACTCATCACACTCTCAAATATACTCATACAAATATAAGAAGATATATCATAACAACATTTATGTCAGTTGGACACCACACAAGTTAACCATTCAAAAGGATAGGGATGAGGCATGTAAGGAAAATTTACCCCTATTTTGAAAGGGCTTTAGAGACTATGTGATCTTATTTCATGAGATGAGTTGTATTTTTATTTGAGACAAGTTGGACACAATTTGACTTATGCTACTTGAATTAGTGCAAGTGAAATTATGTGAAAATGAAATTTTCTTCAAAAAAAAAAAAAAATAATATATATATAGGATTTATATAGATATAAATCCTATATATATCTTATATACCTAAATAATGGTGTCTGAGATATATATATAAAGTTTCCCTTCTTCAACATGTTTGTTCTAAAAGTCATTTTGAAATTTTTGAAATTTTGAAAGTTTTGAAATTTTGAAAGTTTTGAAATTTTGAAAGTTTTGAAATTTAAAATTAAGAAAACAATTCAACTTATTTTCTAAAATATAAATTAAACTTTTATTAATTTAATTGTAGAATATAAATATTTTTATAGTTTTCAGAATCTTCTTCATTCAAAGCTGAGATTCGTTTCAAAGAATTTGATACCAATGGTTCAAGAGGGCGCAACTATAAACGCCAATGTTGTGATACAACAGTTGAAATTTGTAGCACACAATGCTTTTTTAAATTTCAGATTTGCTTTCTAACAAGTTCAAATTCTTTGACAATATGCTTTAACACAAGTTTTATTCCTGAAGACATTCTAAATAGAACAACTACTTTTCCAGAAATAATATCTAGCAACCTATCAAACAGATTCATTGTTCAACTATCATCTTTAAAGGTAATCTTAATTTAATTAATAAAATCATGCAGTTAAGTAAAAGTTAATTACCAGTGAGGTATGTAAATGTTAGAAAGCATATGTATATTAAAAATTTAACTAAAAATCAAGTCTCAACTAAAATGTAAATTAAAGTATTTTATCATTACTTATTTCTGGTGTTACTTAATTGTAAAATTTCATAACAGTAGCTTAGTATGTATATATATATATATGTATATATATGTATATATATATATATATGTATATATATATATATATATATATATATATGTATGTATATATATATATATATATATATATATATATATATATATATATATATATATATATATATATATATATATGTACAGGGCCATATATATATATATATATATATATATATATATATATATATATATATATATATATATATATATATATATATATATATATATATATATATATATATATATATATATATATATATATATATATGTATATATATATACATATACATATGTATATGTATACATATGTATACATATGCATATGTATATATGTACATATGTATGCATTTGTATATATATATATATATAATATTTATATAGTATATATGTATAATATATATATATATATATATATATATATATATATATATATATATATATATATATATATATATATACATGTATATACATATATATATATATATATATATATATATATATATATATATATATATATATATATATATATATATACATATATATATATATATATATATATATATATGTATATATATATATATATATATATATATATATATATATATATATATATATATATATATATATATATATATATATATATGTACAGGGCCATATATATATATATGTATATATATATACATATACATATGTATATGTATACATATACATATGTATATATGTACATATGTATGCATTTGTATATATATATACATATATATATATGGGTCATTCCATGTAAAACTGGGACATTCATTTTAGTCACCTCTTGGGTTTTCTTTAAATTTTACCAGGTGGTACATTATAATGAAACATGAAAAAACGCAAAATTTGAGCTCCCAAATCCAAATGTTTTAAAAGTTATGACGTTTTGAAATTCAGCCCAAAACGTTTCTTTGCGCTTTCATCAACTCCCGGAGTTGCCCAAGTCTCGTGGATTCAATTTTTTTTTCAAACAAAGTAGGTGATACTAGGCTATTGATATAAAAAAGATGGTTTTGGTTTCTTCAAGAATTATTAAGATATGTCATTTTGAAATTTAGACAAAAAAAAATCATTTTTTAGCCTCTATTCTCCATTATAGACTTTATAGCGATACTTTTTGTATGAATAATTGAAGTTCTAGTGGAGAAATATGACTGAAAATTGGTACCTGACCAATTTTAAAGGTATTGAATGCAAAGCTAAAGATAAATGAACCCTATTCCTAGTATTTGAGAATAGGGTCATTCCATGCCAAGTGAACCAGGGTCAAACATGGACCCCCTCAGATTTTGATGAAACTTAGTGGGTTGGTTTATATCAATGAGAAAAGCAATTCCTGAAAATTTCAGCTTTAAATCTTATGTGGTTCATGAGATATGGCCATTTGAAATTTCTGATTTTTCCAAAAATAAAAACTTCAGTAGCAAAAACATGTTTTGTTCATACTTTGAAGCTCTGTATTTTAAAAACTAAATTTCAGAAAACCTTCTAGTTTTTTTTATCATATACAATGCTAGGCTTACTTTGTTAAAACTTTGACATTAAATTTTTAAATGTCACATTTATCCATAATGGCTGCCTAAAAAACCGAAAAAATTGTTTGCAGATATAGAAAGTTGATTTTTGATGGGTCAATATACAAAACTAGCAATTTAAGAAGTAAAAATACATATCTTTTTAGTTTCTATATATGGTAGGCTTCCTAATTTTCAGAAATTTGCTGATATGATACAACTCAGTAAGAAGTTATGGACCCCTAAAAATGGCTCCGGCTAGAACTTACAAAATTGTGCCTTCCTTTAAATCCACTGGTAACCTATGATCAACACTGATTTTCATGATATACTTTTTTTCTACTCATTTAGTAGACTTTATTAAAGTGATTTCAGAAAAAAAAATAGTGGGTACTCATGGGGAAGTTACAAAGTCAGAACAATGAAGTTGGCACAAAATGCATTAAAAACGCAAAAAATAGAGATATTGATGTACTTTAGTATTCATTATTTACTGCAATGCAAAAAAATGTATATTTATATGAAAGTATATCAAAATCATTGCTACAAATTAGCTTTAAATTAGGACTGAATTAAACTCAGGTTTTAAATAACCTTAGTTGCCCCCCCCACCCTGTCTTTTTATTTTTTTTAATGCGTATTTTTGCCCAGAACATTCTTATCTTAAGAAGAACTTATTTCTTAATAACATTTTAAACTACTGTTTATTAAACATTTTAGCTTATGCAGTGTTTCTGTTATTATATCTGATGCATGAAGTATCTTTATGCACCAAGTATTGAACATACTCAAATAATACTGTGTTATTTATTTGTAAATGCTTATTAGACACAACATCAACATAAAGATGGAATCATTCAAGTATGCTTTAATACATTTTTTCGATTGATCAAGCTTATAAAAATTTTGCTTTGTTATTATATAATTTCGTTATTAAACATACTATTGTACAAATGTATTATTTCAGTTTTTTCTTGAGCTGATAGTTCATAGCATCTACCAGTTGCTGATTGCACTTTTAAAGATGAAATTTTGCATAGAACGTGCATTATTGGAACCCAGCAAATATCTTCTCTATGTGGCCAAGTAAAAGTGTTAGAGGAAATAGACTGCTTCATGAACTTTATAAGGATATCTTAATTTTCTTCAGATATTTCCACAATATTACCTAAAAACCATTTTCCATCATAAACACATGCTATATAAATTCCGGGTGAAAGAGATGCAAGTGGAATTGTATAGTTCTGTTGCATTGTTGAAATATTTACATTAGTAAACACATTGTCGAATGAAACCCGTCTCATTTGTAAAGTAGTTAATGATTGTGGTATAAAACAATGGTGGTTTCTTGTTCCTGGAATTGTTGAACAAGTAGCATAATGTTCTTCTAATTTAAATTTCATGCAATGTAATGTAACTGCATCATTTGAAATGTGTTGAAAATGTATTCCATCAATATTTTGTCTACACCAATCATACATTTTTTTAGATGAATTGATAGGATCAACTAGTGATTGTAAACTTGACCTTGCTACAAGTCTTTTGACAGTCCCCTCAACACCATCACACGCACTCTTTCCATGTGATGTAGCAAAAAAATGCCATTCCGCAGATACGTCATGATCTTGTTTATGGTGACATAAGTTAGATAGGTTTTTATAATTTTTGTATTGTGAACTTGCACCATCACTGAAATAAATGCAGTGGTTAAAGTAGGGTATCATGTTTTTTATATGATTTAATACTTTATTTTGTATTGTGTTGCAAATTATCTGAGATAATGCAAATACTTTTACATTTTATCTTGTTTTCTTCCATAAAGTAAATAACAAAAAGATGCAATGTTGCTTGGCTATTGTTCCAATGGAAACCTTGTACTGCATCTTGAATTAAAAAACTGTAATTCTCAGCAAAGTCTAATAATATTAAAATATGATTACTTGCTAATGTGATTTTTAGATGCTGCAAATATGCTGCTTGATTTTTGGCTATATAGTGATGGTCTCTTAATTGGTCTATTTGTTGACAAGCTTTCTCAATAAAATCGTCCACTGGAAGAGTTACCGAAACTATATCATGTTTTTTGTTAGCTTTTTGCCACTGATTAAAGTTGATTTCTTCAATGCTATGTTTATCAAACAAAGTAGTAAGATACTCTTTAAGTGTGTCATTATCTGGGCAGTTATCACAACAATGCAGCATGCAGTCTCGATTTGTTAAGTCACATACAACTAATGTCAAGAGATTTTTATAGTCTGAAATATCTGGTATTTTTAATGCTAAAAGTTTGGCATTCTGGTGGTACTCACAAACGCATACTGAGTGGAGACCTGAAGCACCTCCAACAGGAATACACCACTTTGGTCTAAGTTCACAAAACTTAGAAAATCCAATCTTGACATCTAAGGAAATTTTAACAAACTCTAAATAAAGTTCTTTTATATTAAGTAATAGCAGTCTTTTTTGAAAATGTTGTCTTTTACCATCAACTTGGATTGAGACATACTGTTTTTTTCCTGGACACATTCTAGAGTATTCATCTGATTGGTAAAGTTCATGGACTAGATTTTTTACTTTCTCACTAATAGATCTTCCTTCTTTTTTAGATGGCTCCATTATGCCATGCATTTGTTTCAAATGCCTTGCAGTTTTTATCATTCTTTGGGAAGCAGAAAAATAGTTTTCTGTATAGTTAATGTTCCAACTCTCAGGAACCAAAGTTAGCAATTTAGGTTTTTCTGGTTTTGAAGAAATATCAAACTTTGCTTTAATTAATTCCATTAGTGAGTCCAAATCTTGTTTACTTTTGCAACAAAGTTCTTTTGTTTTTGGTTCATCATTTATTAAATCCGGAGAAACATCTAAAACAGTTGCTATTTTCTTTTTGGTTGCAGTATGGATCTTGTTAATCTTTCTTTTGCATAGCTGACTCTGTCTTTATAAGCTACTAGTTTTAGAGGTGAACAACCAAAGGTGTTAATGCTTAAATTAAAGTTTTCTTTTGAAATATGAATCCCGTTAAAATCGTTATCTTGATTTTTACATGAATCGCTTTCATGTTCTTGTTTTCTTAAGTGCAATATTTTACGACATTCTGTACAAAGCTTATAACCAGGTATTAAATCAAATTCCTTTGCAACAGCAGCACTGATTACTCTGACAGATTCTGAAAAAATATATGATAAAACACTAAATAAATAAATAAAGAAGACTTTATCTTTAATATAATCATTAAGTTAATCTATTTTTTAATACTTTTAATTTTAATTTTGTGTTTGTTAAAAGGATCGCAACAAAAGCTTCCAACATACGATGACTCAAATCTATCCAAGAAGATCTTTTCATGGTGATTACAAATAGTTTTAATAGGATTTACTTTATATCTTAAGTGCACAAGCTCTTGATCTTTTTTTGTTAATTCCTCAAAAAATTTAATTTTCTTGATTTTCGTAAATTTTCCTTCATGACAATTTTCATTTAATTTTTTTCCAATGCAACATTGAGTTAGATCTAAAGATGAACTTGCCATTTATTTTTAATTATTATCTAAAAAAAATATATTTATTTTCAATTTTAGAAGTGTAAACTAAAGTTTCCATAAGTTTTGACACAATAAATAAGTATAGAATGATAAATTTTATATACGAAATTAAAGATAAAAGGTACACCCAATAGCTTGTTTGCCATGTCACAGCTTTTAACTGTGTATGTTCAATTGTTATTTTGTGCATTAACACTTCATGCATTAGAAAAAAAACCAGACACATTTTGTAAAGTAAAACATACAATAACATATTTCTTTTAAGATAAGTTCTGGGAGAAAATACATATGTATTTTCTTCCAGATATATATGTTAAAAAATAAAAAGACAGGGTGGGGGGGGGCAACTAAGGTTATTTAAAACCTGAGTTTAATTCAGTCCTAATTTAAAGCTAATTTGTAGCAATGATTTTGATATACTTTCATATAAATATACATTTTTTTGCATTGCAGTAAATAATGAATACTAAAGTACATCAATATCTCTATTTTTTGCGTTTTTAATGCATTTTGTGCCAACTTCATTGTTCTGACTTTGTAACTTCCCCATGAGTACCCACTATTTTTTTTTCTGAAATCACTTTAATAAAGTCTACTAAATGAGTAGAAAAAAAGTATATCATGAAAATCAGTGTTGATCATAGGTTACCAGTGGATTTAAAGGAAGGCACAATTTTGTAAGTTCTAGCCGGAGCCATTTTTAGGGGTCCATAACTTCTTACTGAATTGTATCATATCAGCAAATTTCTGAAAATTAGGAAGCCTACCATATATAGAAACTAAAAAGATATGTGTTTTTACTTCTTAAATTGCTAGTTTTGTATATTGACCCATCAAAAATCAACTTTCTATATCTGCAAACAATTTTTTCGGTTTTTTAGGCAGCCATTATGGATAAAATGTGACATTTAAAAATTTAATGTCAAAGTTTTAACAAAGTAAGCCTAGCATTGTATATGATAAAAAAAACTAGAAGGTTTTCTGAAATTTAGTTTTTAAAATACAGAGCTTCAAAGTATGAACAAAACATGTTTTTGCTACTGAAGTTTTTATTTTTGGAAAAATCAGAAATTTCAAATGGCCATATCTCATGAACCACATAAGATTTGAAGCTGAAATTTTCAGGAATTGCTTTTCTCATTGATATAAACCAACCCACTAAGTTTCATCAAAATCTGAGGGGGTCCATGTTGGAATCCTAAAATTTTAGACTATTTGGCACGGAACGACCCAATAGTTTTTCAATTTTAAAATATCAACAGTTAAATTTTTTTATTTCTTAACTATGGTTTACTTTTCCTTATTTCTGGAGTTGCCTCACTCTTATTGTGAAATAAGAGGTCTTAAAAAAGTTTAGGTTACTAAAAGAAAATAAAAAAATTATAATGCTTTGCATAACTTGCATATTTATAATCAATATTTTCAAAAGTATACATGGAAATGTAATTTACTAAACAACACATTGAAAATATAATTTCTTCATTTATTAATTATAATAATTTAACGTAACATCATTACTTTATGTCTAATAATAGGGTATTGTTGTGTTAAAAAATAAGAAACTAAAATGCAAACTTTTTTGAAAAATAGTAAAAAATCTGTTTTATTGAATAAAGCTCAAAAATAAAAAGAGATTTAATAAACCAAATATGACTAATATTGAAGTTTATATAATATAAATAATGAAAGTAAAATATTCATCAACTTTCATCGACAAGAAAATGAGTTTTGTCTTCTTTTGTGATGTGGTACTGACGCCCAGAAGATGTTGACGGTGTTTTAACAAGAGAAATGACATTCATTCTTGGCACCCAGCAATTATTATCTCGCTTTGGCCAGTAGTACGACCGACTTGGATAATTTAGATGCATAAACTTTACCATAAAATCATCATTCTCTTTATCAACTTCAGAAACCATTCCAAGCCAGTAAAAATTGTTGTATTTGCAAAATAGGTATTGTCACATAACATTCTCAATTTTATTAATTTCGTATTTTTGTTTATTGAGGAAGTCAAATGTTAGAGCAAAATCATCATCATCGGATACCCTTTTCATTTTTATAATTGAATGAGAAGAAGGTATAAATTCTTGTCCCAGGAATAGTGGTTTCTATTAATAGTCTATCAGCAAGTTTGATTCTTACTAGCTGCATTTCTTTGGCAGTGACATACACAAACGTAATCCCACTGATTGACTTTTGGCAGTATTCAAGCATTGCTTGAGAAGATAGTATTTGACCTGTTGTTGGACTCTGCAAGCTAGCAGTTGAAACAAGCCTTTTAACAGTGCCACCTATTCCATCACATGGAGATTTGCCATGGCTTGTTGCAAAGAAATTCCAGATGCACTGAACAGAAAAATCTTGAGCATGGTGACATAAATTGTAAAAATGTTTGCAATTTTTATACTGTCTTGCACAGCCATCAGAAAAATAATGAATTTTTGTAATTGCGGGACAAAGATGAGTTTTTATATGATTAATGGTTTTATGCATAACTTCATTAATAAATCCAACATCATAACTCAAATCATCGGAAATTACACAAAAAGAAGATATTTCCAATTTCACTTTCTTGTAGTAGATGACAACTGGATGAAGAGAACATTGACTCTTGCTCCAATGGTAACTCTGTATCTCGTCTTGTACTACAAAAGTGTAATTCTCTGCAAAATCTGCCAGTATAATAGCCTCATCAATACTAATTATTTCTTTGAGATGCTTTAGATAGCTAGATTGTGATTTTGCTTTAAATGAATGAGAAGTAATTTTATTAAGTTTCTCACACAGGAGCTCTATGAATTCATTTAATGAAAGTTGTGTTGTTAATAGTTCAGTTCTATCTGTCGTTGTTCACTGTTTGATATCCACATTCATTTTCGTCACTGTCATATTGCTCTTTTGGATCATAATTTTGTGTGAGATACTGCTGGAAATAAATTTGGGCAGCTTGTATGCCAGGACAACTGTTGCATCGGTGAATCATGCAAACTTTTGATTTTCTGCTGCAGACAATCTTTTCAATGAATTTATGGTAAGATGTTTCAAGGTCTACAGCACTCAACATTAATTTAACATTTTGGTGTATTGTACACACACAAACAGAATGTGTACCTTTTGAACCAGCAAGGATGCACCATTTAGGTCTAAGACTGCATAATTTAGAAAATCCAATTTTATGGTCTGGGTACGTAATCTTATATGCCACATAGAGCTCCTTTATATTATACAGAATAATCAATTTTTTTGACATGTATTTTTTTTCCCAACACTTACACAGTCTTTTTTACCTGGCATTTGCCTTGAATACTCATCAACACAGTAAAAAAGCTTTACATATTCTATGACATCTTTACTGATTCGATGCCGTTCAACCACATTGGGGTATGCAATGACGTCTTTTTGGTCATGTAAAAGCTTTGCATTTTAAATTTTGTGTTTGGAAACTGAAAACTTTTTTGCTGCTTTTCTGATAGACCAAGATTTCGGTGTCAATGTCAAAATTTGAAGTTGCTGCCTTCTGTCAGAAACTTTAAGTTTTTCTTTCATGCATTCAACAAGGAAGTCTAGATCGCCAGCTTTGGTTTCAACTTCTTTTAGAACTTCATAGTTGTTAGGTGCAACAAGATTCGATTCGATGACATCCAGAGCAGTTGCAAGTTTCTTAATAACTGCTTCTTCAACTTGCTTTATCTTTCTCTTTCCAAGTGAAGGCTTGTTAGAGGTTTTTGGCGAATGAACTTTTAGTGGGGACACTTCAAGTTCACACAAAGTACTGTTGAGCAATAATCTTGTTTATTCCAGTATAATTTCTTTTTCCATATTATCTTCAGTTAATTTTATCTTCAACTCGTTCTCTTCTGATTCTTCACTTGATGCTAATTTATGTCTGCATTGTGGACAAAGTTTTTCACCTGGCACTACGAACTTGCCTTTACTGCTTAAGTACTTTGCTGAATCCAAGTTGATTTCACAAAGACTGCCTAAAAAAAGGGAAGAACTCTTTTAATATGTATAAAAATTGTAATAAAACTATTTTAAATTTGTATGGCATTTAAGAGTGCACTTTTAGAAGTCAGCTAAAAGTAAGGCTAAATATAGCTAAAATAAATTGGCTGCAAAGAATTTCATTTTTGTAACTCACAACATTTTCACAAAATAAAAGTTGTGATTACTATAAATACCTTTTATAACTTTGTTATGAGTATTAAATGGATTGCAGCACTGTGTTAATTTAGTTGCATAACGCTTCAAATAAACATGTTTATGATGTAGACAAGTTGTTGGTTTTACATTGATTATTGAGAGCCCAGTCCTCCACATTAATATTTCTCTTTCATACTCAGGAATATCTTCAAAAGGTTCGATTCCAAGCAACGATGTATATGTTGCAAGATGACATTCACTTCCTAGCTTGATTCCAATGGAGCACTGTTGGCTGTTTGCCATGACTAAGAAACTGAATTGCTAAATTCTCTAATTATTTAATCTAAAATTTAAATAATTTTAAGTTTATGGTCATGGTTTTTCAAAACTATATTTATACAACATATCTGACATCACAAATCTATATTTATACATCACAGCAGGCATTGTAAAACTATTTTTTTAAATGACAATTAACTTCACAAAACTTTATTTATATATAAAAACCTACCTCAATAAACTCTTTTTACACATCACAACTGAACCCATGAGAGTCTTGTGATGAACCCATGAGAGTCTTTTTTTTTTCTACTTTGGATTCAGCATTTTTAAAAACGGTCAGGTACCAATTTTCAGTCAGTTTCTTCGACTAAAACTTAAATTATTTACACCTAAACTATAGCTAAAAAATCTATGAAAGAGAATTCAAATAAGGAATTCAAAGGAGTCCAAATAAGGAATTTTTTTTGCATAAATTTCAAAATGATATATCTTTATAAAGCTTTAAGAAACCAAAACCATCTTTTAAAGATGGCCTAGGATCACCTACTTCATTAAAAAAAAAAATTGAATCCATAAGACTTGGGCAACTCCGGGAGTTGATGAAAGCACAACCCATGGTAACAGAACAAAAAATTGGACTGACCATTTTAGAATCAAAAAATAACCATCATAAAATTTAAATTTCACTATTTGCTTTACATTTTGGAATTCAGCACCCTCAAAAATGGTCAGGTACCCATTTTTAGCCTCATTCTTCAACTAGATCTTAAATTATACATTAAAAAGTAGAACTACAAAATCCATAATGGCGGACTTGGCAAAAATAAAAAATGTTTTAGGCCGAAATTCAAAACATCATAACTTTTGAACCGTTTGATTTTGGGAGCTCAAATTTTACAATTTTTCATGTTATATTGATAGGTACCACTGGGTAAAATTTGAAAGAAATCTGAGAGGGTGACTGAAAAATTTAGATTTTTTGTCCCAGTTTTACATGGAATTACCCATATATATATATATATATATATATATATATATATATATATATATATATATATATATATATATATATATATATATATATATATTATATATATATATATATATATATATATATATATATATATATATATATATATATATATATATATATATATAGAGTTTCCCATAAACTGTAGTTTTAAAGAGCGCGTTAATAAACCAGACCAGAAAAAGTTTAAAAAGTTGAATTTTTTTTTTTTTAAAATGATAGACTGCCTGCCCAAACCAAACCCTCAGTCGATGTAGCAGCTCTCCGTTGCGAGTCAGGCTATTTGTC